GCTTTCATTTCAAATACAGGAGAAGCTGAATGTCAAAGCAGATACTTCTGGAAGGAGAATATAAACACCACCTACCCACCATTACAATTAATTTTTTGATTCTTACACGCAGCTCACATTTAAAATCATAAACCAACTCTAATAACACCAATAGACTGAGGATATTTTAAGAAGCCAGAGCTGGCCAAGGTGTTAGTCACTCTGTTTAAAAGCCAAGTAGAGAAAAAAAAAGCCAGTTCAGACAGACCAGCAAAGGGTTGCAGCCTCCTATCAAATGAGGATATGCATAATCACATTATTCCACACCAAAAATAGAGCGTTCAGTACACTCAGCGGGACAGTGGAAATTATAAGCTGGTGTTAAACTTCAGTGACTGGTAAGAAAATGACTTCATAGATGTTTCTCTGTCCCTCTTTTCTGAATTGTCAAGCACCTGAACTTGAGAGCTCTGTGCTGCACCATCAGAGAGCAGAACTCCATTGTGACTGTGCACAGAGACCACAGCCAGCAAAGGAATTTTAATTTAAACTTAGAACATTGGGAAGACTTCTACCTAAAAAAAGAATTCCAGATGCAGTGCTTTTAAAGAGCAGCAGTAATTGTTCCTACAAAGCCACCCCCAGCCTGGGTTACAGCCCTCACCTCCACTTCCCACAGGGCCTTGGAGCTGGTGGCAGACGTGGCCGACTGTCTGCCCGTGGTCCTGAGGAACACGTGCTGCTTCTTCCTGTGCTCATCACACGTCAGGAACTTCTCCTGCTCCGCGTGGAACAGCCTCACCACGTCCCCCTGCCAAGGCAGCAGGGTCAGCAGGGGCAGCACCCCCGGGGAGGGGGTTACAGGCAGGCAGGGCCCTGGGTCTCACCCCTTTGAGGATGTCGTCCTTGTTGTCGCTCCATTTCATGAAGAGCACGATCTTCCAGCTGGTGTTGCAGTTCACTGAGTTGACCTAAAGGGAGAACTGAACCCATCAGTCCCACTGTCTTGTGCCTCCACAAGGTATGAGCCACTGTCTTACTTTCTAGACCATTTTCACCAGAATCCTGCAGTCCTGGCTGTGTTACTCTAGAGAAGCAAAGCCTTTTCTGTACCTACTCCAGAACAAGGAACTTCAGAGCTGACTTGCTTGCAAGTTGTGGGCTACACAGCTGTGCTGGTTTTGGCTGAGAGTGGAGTTAACATTCTTCACAGTGACCAGTATGGGGCACATCACTGTGCCACAACTTTTGATTTTGAAGGAAATCCTTACTTTTAGCCAGTCATGCAAAAGAGACAAACCTCTGCCAGCGCCCAACAGATATGACAAAACTCTGTGAGCTCTGATAAGTCACTGATCACCAAGATAACCATTCCTAAGCAATGCCACAGGTACCAAACAACTTGCTGGATTTCATAAAACGTGTACAAACAGCTTAGCTGAAGCACAGAGAGGTCTGTCCAGCTGCTCCAGCTGTGCCCATGTCCCCTCACCTCATTGCATCCCGGGTTATCCACGAGCTGATGGCTGCTGGCATGGAGAGGCTGCCCAGCATTGACAGGATTCAGGACCACTTTGTCTCCAATGACCACCTGGAGGGAAGGGCAGCATCAGACAGAAATTTGCACAGTGGGAAAACTCTTTTTCTTCCATTGTTTTAATGGAAGTGGCAGGAGGAAATCACCTTGCTGCAGTTAGGAGAGATGCCAGTCTGAGTGTTCTGCCAGGGTTCTGTTTGGTTCAGAATTTACCTCACCAAACTCAGCCACTGAGACAAAAAACCCAGTGATGCTGGTTTCAGAGCCTTGCAGAAGCAGCAGGCTGAGTTCTGGTGCAGAGGGGCTACAGGATAAATTATTGCTACTCGATAAAGCTCACTCTGTTTAGGTGCCAAATATATAGCTGGCCTAAACCCCAGAGCACACTGACACTTATTACCTCCTGCTTTTAGGCAAATAATATACCCCAGCAACTCACATTTTGCAAGAAAAAAACACAAGATTAAGAGATTAAAATGGCAATGCATTTAATCAGCACCATTTTTTCCAGATTTCCCATGAACAGGAACATTTGACTTCCTTATTACCTCATTCCTTATATCCGAAGTGATGATGAGTTTTGATTCTAAACTGAAAACACCGAAAATCAAGATGCTAATTATTTCTTCCAGGCCTCCTGAAGGAACTCAACATTTCCTACCATTTTGAATTGGGCAGGAATTGTGCAAGGCCAGCCTAATTAGGTCCCTTATTCCCTCCAATGTTAGATCATTCCACGTTTCCAAAATACAAGTTACCATAGCGATTTTCCTCCCCCTCATGACAGCATAGGAAAAAGGTTGTTCCTGCATCATCACGCACCGAGAGATCTGTGCATTTCATTAATTGCAGGGCAGGATTCCCAAGCCCAGCCTGGCCAGGCTGTGTCCCAAGGAGCAGGTGAGGACACTGCTCCCAGCACTTACGCTGTCTCCGATGGACCGCAGTTTGTAGAAGGGCTGGATGTAGAACCAGGAACCTTCATTTCCAGCTTCATCCAAGGTCACCCTCATTGCATTCTTCTCTAGCAGAGCTGGCAGCCTCTTATTTACTGTTAAGTATTTGTTACTTTTTAAGTGAAGCAGCTAGAATAAGAATCAGAGTTCCGTTCTAAGAATGCTCATCTTCCTCCCCTCAAGAAACCGAGCGTGCACGAGACAACTACATTTCTATGCAGGAGTTAAAACTAAATTATACACGAATATTGATGGGCTCAGGCACAATTCCACTCACAGATACAGTGCTACAGCACAAAACATCTTCAGTGAATCCAACCGTCCCTTCCCCAGCAAACAACAAACACTCACACATGTGCTCGTCACTTTACGACAGCCAGCTCAAAAAACCCAGGACCAAAAGCTGTGAAGTGCTGGGGACTAAGTGGTTCTCTCTGTAAGAGGCAAAGCTGCTCCTATCTTGCTTTGCTTGGTCTCATTTAAGAGAAAATGTGACTATTCCTACGGACTTTCCTTCTCTGTGGCAGTTTGTCATTTGTGGTGTCAACATCTGACAGTGAGAGATATTTGGTGTTGTGCACGTGCCACCTTCACGTGGCCAACTCTCAGGAAGGCTCCAAGGATTTCTGAAGAAAGCAATCAGTGGTGACACCAAAAATAAACACAATTAGCCCCTAACAAAAAAGTGACCTCATCATAGCTGTACACCCAGGCCCTGCTTCCCAGAATCCCACTGCAGGGCACGGTCAAAGCTGGCAACACCACCGATCCTGGCCGTGAACTCCAGAAATTTAACATCCACTGAGCAGGGAATTTTGACCAAAATCCTCTCCAGTTGGCAAAGATGCTCACAGCCCATGGGGATCCCACTGCCACAGTGGCTCACTGTTCCCACAGCCTACCTGGATCACATTCCCA